CATCCACGGGTGGACCGTAAGTATGGAGGATCCCGCACGGCTCCGGGCGATGCTTACGGTTCGCTTAGCCGCCCTGTAAATGGTCCGCGACTCTAGAATACGTGGGATTTGGGAAGACCTGTCACGTTTTTGTGCACTGTGGATTCTTATTCGCTGCACCTGAGTTCTCTGGAGCCAAGCGATGGGAGTTGCGCTTATCAACTCTGGGAAATCACCCAACTCACTCACAACTGCCCAAGATCGCTTTTGATCCTGTATAGTGTGAATACGGTAAAGGGGACTCGAGATGTTCCCTAAAACCCAACTAACTGAGCACTACGGAGGTGGCACTTGGCTTGGCACGCCTACAGACTTTCTGTGACGTTAGCTGTGTGCCCACAGTATTCCCGTCTGCTACGTGGTCTCCTCCTTAAAGAAAGCGAGGGCAGACAGACTTTATCAAACTTTCTTCTGCATTTGGTGGGGCCGAGTGTGTGGCACTGGGGGGCTTATCAACTCTGCCAGGGCTTATGCAAACGGCGGAGCCAACACTGGAAAATAATTCTGCAATCCATCAGAATTTCTGAAGCTCTTGAGAAAAAGAGCGATAAGGTGGCACGTAACAAATGCCTCTCCCTCCTGCCTTAAAAGGCAAAGCGGCTAATTACATCCAGAGTCTCTCAAAACCTGTTTTTCTGACACCATTAGTGCAGCGCTGAGAGGTAGTGGGGCTTGCAGAGGAGCTGCATGCAGCTGGAGCAGAGTATGTAAATGATATACAAATAACTTCACTGTGAATGTGTAATCTTGGTCCTGTGAGCTGGAAACTAACACCTGAATCTCTTTCTAGATGAGTGGCATGTTCGAAACATGGCTGGGCAGCTTGGTATCAGCTCTTCAGGAGAGGGAGAAGGATGCCAACGTGGTCGTGGTGGATTGGCTTTCGCTTGCCCACCAGCTCTATACCGATGCTGTGAACAACACGCAGATTGTTGGAAAAAACATAGCGAGTCTGCTTGACTGGTTGCAGGTAACACGAGTTCAGAACGGTCTCTGTCGTAATGCTCTGTGAGGGACTGTTGCACAAGGGACCGGAGCATGCACCAGCTCCAATGCTTGTGAGTGGGAAAGGCTCTGGTGTAATCCAAACCCCAAGGCTTGGTGGGGTGATGGCTCATAACTCAGGGGCTGTGCTCAGCCCTTGCGCGAGCAAACTTTCCTGCGAGATGCTGCTTTGCAGCGTGCTTGGGTCAGTGATGTGGAAGTGGACTTGGAATTTATGAGTCCTTCCTCCTGTGAACTCAGGAGTGAGGCATTCAAAGTCAGCGTTGGCTTGGCAAGAGTGTGGAGAAGGTGAAGGAAAAGGCCCATGGTGCTACCCTTGGCACTTGAGTCCATGGCCGCCGCAGCTCCCTGGGAGAAAGCTGGTCCAGATGCTGCTTAAACAGAGTATCGTAATGGGGGTTGAAAACTGGGTACTGTGACTGGGGGCAAACCGCAAGTGCCACCTAAACCATTCAACTTGTACTTGCCCTGATGAAATAAAAAATGAAGCATGCTCATCTGCCCCCTCCTCCAATCTCCTCTTAGAATCAGAGTTGAGAGTCCCACAGGTAGGAACAGTGCCAGATGTGCTGAAAGAGAGGGGGGGAAAATGATCATATCTTTCTTTTTCCTTGCAGGAGAACCCACTGTTCCAGCTGGAGAATGTCCACCTGATCGGGTACAGCCTGGGCGCCCACGTTGCTGGCTTTGCTGGTAACCACGTGCATGGGACGATAGGCAGAATTACAGGCAAGTGTTTTTTTAAGCCACCTCTTGCCTTTCCTTAGCGGCAGTGAGTTTCCCTGAAAAGGCTCGTTTCCTGCCTTGTTGCAGTGTTATTTTGGGCTTGCTCATTCAGAAATGACAAGTTTCCTCTCTGTGGCAGCAGTGGAGAGCATGGGTCTCTTCACATGGGAAAGTATCTTAATTTTGAACCCCAAGTGTAGGGGGGGTTCAATGAAAAACCTTTCAGATAACAACCTGATATTGAGTATATCTGCAATTAAATGTGGGTTCAAAACAAGTCCAGCTTGACCTCTTAATATTCAAGTCCTAAGCCTCTGAGTGATAACTGCTTTTGTAATTATAGTTCATAAACTAATAGAAATGAGAGCTATTGGGTGCAGTTTGTCCCATGGGAAGCTTGGTCAAAAAAAACCCCAAACAACCCAAACGAAAAAAAACCCACCCCCTCATTCTGAAAATACCTTGGAGAGTGCTTCTGACTCCAGAAGAAAGCTGATTTCAACATGTGAAAACGTAGGGCATGCTACAAAGAGTTGCATTAAGCATTTAAACGTGACGTTGGCAGTGAGAATTCCTCAGAGCGTAGCAATAAATACCTGTTATTTAGGTAAGCAGGAAAATCACCTAAGCTGGAGAATGGCTCAGGAGCACAGTTTCAGGTTGGGGACGAGGCTCAGAGGTTAACAGAACATCCCAAACCCATCATGGAATATCAGATGCAGGGATTACCTGGCTACTTCTTAAACTTGTGCTAGTCCCTCCATATGTCCAGTCTGAAAAGAGACTCAATGTTGCCGAGGAAGCTGTGGCTACCAGCGGTCTCTGTGGGTTGCTGGACCTCTCCTGGTGTACAGTCATCTGCTGCCTCGTGAAGTATCTCTTCACTGTGACCTAGCAAAGACTCATTGCTTCCACCAGGCAATCTGAAGCCATCACTGTGCAGCAGACCGGTGCTGCTCCTGGGTTGTATCGCACCAAAAGTGAGGGACATCTTCATCTGTTCCCTCAGTGAGCCCACAGTGAAGAGGTCTTGGGGGCCAGTATCAGCAATGAGGCAGGGACTTTCTACGTAGAACCTGATTAGGAGGGCTGCTAGGAGCAGGCTCCTGGGTGAAATAACCTAATTTCTTACCTGGCATTTTGGGTACTGTCTCCAACACCAGGCTTGGATCCGGCTGGCCCTATGTTTGAAGGAGTGGACCCTAGCAAGCGCCTCTCCCCCGATGATGCTAACTTCGTGGATGTCCTTCACACCTACACAAGGGAAACACTAGGTGTTAGCATTGGGATCCAGATGCCTGTAGGCCATCTTGACATCTACCCCAATGGGGGGGACTTCCAGCCTGGCTGTGGTTTAAGTGATGTCTTGGGAGCAATTGCCTATGGGAGTAAGTTGTTATTACTTATATTTGCCTCTGGTCAGTGTAGATGCCACACAAATAGATGTGGGTTGATGCTGGGGGAATGATCTCATTTACAAGAGCAGAGAAAACTATTTTTTCCTTCTTTCAGTTCTGAAGTAGCATGTTCTCACTCTTAACACCTGATCATATCTATGGCCTTCTTCGGCTGGGTCTAGAATTCTCTTTAAAGCTCTCTTCGTGGTAGAGAGTAAGTTAACAGTCCTCTTAAAGTGTCTTCCACTAGCCTCTTGAATTGCTACTATTTGAAAAATGTTCAACTGTGGCCATGGTCAACTCATGTTGGGCTACAAAAAGTCATAGCTTGCTGTTTCTTACCAGATGCTGGCGTGACAAATGCTTAAACAAAATGTATCCTTTCCAACTCTGCTTCTCTAGCCATTGGCGAAGTTGTTAAATGTGAACATGAGCGGTCTGTGCACCTCTTTGTGGACTCCCTCGTCAACCAAGATAAACAAAGCTTCGCGTTTCAATGTACCGATTCCAGCCGCTTCAAGAAGGGCATCTGCCTGAGCTGCCGGAAGAACCGCTGCAACGGCATTGGCTACAATGCCAGGAAAACACGGAACAAAAGAAACAGCAAGATGTACTTAAAAACAAGAGCTGACATGCCGTTCAAAGGTATGGTTTCCCTCTTAGAAAGAGCATAGTCCCATCTCTAAGAGTAGGCTCCCAAAGCCGATGTTGGGAAGGATGTAGAGCTGGGAGGGTGGCATCACCTCAAAGCAGCACCGCAGCGGGCAGGAGTTGGTGGTACCTGTCGCACTGCTGTCCTGTGGTGTTACTGTGCTCCTTCCCCCATGTAAAATCAACAGGCCACAAGTACACTCTGCCTCTTGAGCAGGACTACAGGTTATATGTCATACTTGCAAGACCACCCCAATCTTAGAGCAGTGTAAGGTTTGGGGACCCCTCCCCACTGCTGTTATTGTCTAAATGTCAACTTTGTAATCAGTAAGGGCAGGAAAAAGTGATTGATGATGTCTCAGTGAAGAAAGGGTTTAGCCTTTGCCAGCCAACACTGTTTCACAAAGAGCGATGCTGAGCAATGTCATGTCTTAACAGTGTTGGTTCCATTTATGCCATCCTTGTTTCTCTCCAGTCTACCATTATCAGATGAAAATGCATGTCTTCAGCTACAAGAACTTGGGAGGGGCTGATCCCACTTTCTCCGTGACCCTTCATGGCACCAATGGAGACTCTGAACCTCTCTCTTTGGAAATGTAAGTAAGCTGGCCTGTGGTTTTTACCTGAGTAAGAAGGCCACTGCGACTAGACCAGGTGGAATCATTCTTTTCTTCATTAGGCATTGCAGCTAGTGCAGCCTCAGTTCACCACCATTCAAAAAACTTTGCATGCAAACTTAATTATAATTTATTTCTACATATTAACCTTCACGACTCATTGTTGAAGCACTTTGTTTTGCTTTTCCCCTCTACCATATAGTCTGAAAGCACCCATATCTCCGCAGGCATTGTTGACCTCCTTTAGCCTCTCCCAGTAGAAACACAAAGCATGACATTCACCTTTAAGCTATGGAAGGATGGCTGAGCCAAATACATGATGCATTGTATTGCCCCAGCTATCCAAGCTCACTTTCCTTAGTGTAATCAGTAATTAACCGGTGACAGTTGAACGTGGAACACTTGATAAGCTCCAGAGGGCTCTGTATAAATTCTTGCATGGAGTGAACTAGCATCTGGCATGCTTCCATAAGGAAGAAATACTGAGTCTCTGCTTGTCTTCCAGGCTTGATCAAATTGGCCTAAATGCTACTAACACCTTCCTGGTCTATACTGAAGAGGACATGGGTGAACTTTTAAAAATAAAGCTCACCTGGGAGGGAACATCCCAGTCATGGTACGATCTATGGAAAGAGCTGAAGAGCTACTGGTATCGGCCTGCAAAGTCTTCCCAGGAACTGCATATCAGACGTATCCGTGTGAAATCCGGGGAGACACAACAGAGGTAGTAATTGTCTTAGACTGCTTGTGATCTGACTGGAAACATCAATCAGAAGGGGAAATAGTCAGGATCTAGGAAGAAAAGTTGGGGTCCAGAACTAAGTTGGTGTCCTCAGCTGTATTTCATTTTTAGTGTTACCAGCTAAGGCTCCCTCATGGAGTAGGTGGGTGGGTTACTTGACAGCCTGGGGTTGCAAACTAGGCCTTAAGCAGAACTAGTTACTGCAGATCAGATCTGGGACGTTCTGTTCCTTCATTTAAGTACTGTGACGCTGTCTTGCCTGCCTTTGTGGACTAAATTAGCCTGTTTCAAGATAGTTTAGATCATACCTGAAGGGTTAAAGTACTGACTGCACCAAGTTTACTGAAACATAGGTGGGCATGGATATTATTTACAGGCACATTGTGGTGATTTAGCACGACAAGCCAGACCTAAAACCGCAAGCAGTAACGTGGTGACACCAACTCCTAAAGTACTATAGTGTTCCTTCTGAGAACTCTTTTTGTTGGAAAACTACCTGAACAACCAACAAGAAGTAAATCTGCCAAACACGCAGCACTGCACTCCCCCATCTTGTGTTAACGTTGTTCCGAAGGTAACGCAGAGCTGTTGGAGAACAGCAGTTGATACTGACAGTTTCCCAAATTTCTCAGAGCTTTAAATAAACATCACCTATCATCTGTACGGTATTCTGCATCCTAGTTTCTACAGTCTGTGAAGCATAGGGGTAGTGGACGCAAATGTCCCCAAATAAAATGGTAAAGTGGGAAATAAAATAGCCATTCAACAGGCTATCAGTGTATCAAGATGCTCTGCAGGAAGGATGTCAAACCGAGCAACTTGTCCTAGAATTAGCTGCAATCCATATTACATGCTATTTTTTAATCATGGGGACAACATGAACCTTCCTCCTGACTTCTGATTCCTCCCCCTAGGTTTGCTTTCTGTGTGGAGGATGCCCAGCTAACTAGTATATCTCCTGGTAAAGAGCTCTGGTTTGTGAAGTGCTCAGAGGAATGGCAAAAAAGGTAGGGAAAATCAGCTAAAAGAAATCCTGTCTGATGCATGTGGCTGTGCTGGGATGAGTGGAGCCTTTCTATTTATTTTTTTTTTCTTTCTGACAAAATTAAACATGGAACCTCTTTTTCTTTAAAAAAAAAAAAAGTTAATCAATTCAAGCCCAAGGTTCCCAGCTGTTAGGCTTAATTTTCATGTATGCCTTAACTGTCAATAACCAGGTGATATTATCCTCATTTCTCATCTTGGTCTGTCGTCTCATACCTTTACACGCTTACCTCCAAATAGGTGTAACAGTCCTCGACCCTAAAGATCCTGTCTGCTGCTGTCATGGTAGATGCTAAAAGTGAGGTGCTACCAATGCCCAAGATCTGTGCAACAGGGGATAGCTAATTAGAAGCACCTATTAACTGCCCTGTAAAACAGAGGGAAACTGGGAGGGCAGGGAATTGCCTTGAAGATGGTTTCAGCTCAGTATTAGATCTTAGGCTGGCAAGAAATCTCTTGATTAAGGTTTGAGCTCAACTGCATGAGCAAGGCACAGCTGAGGACTTGCCATGGTGTTACAGTACTGACTCCTGCCGCTTAATCTCTGGCTGTGCTCGTCTCTTCTGGTGCGGGACAGTGCGAACGCGGCCATTGCCAGGGCATCTCAGCCCTGCTTAACCTCAGGGGGACTTTCCAGACACCTAGGATCAGCCCTCAGAGCGTGACTTCCAGTATGTCTGGTCGCAGCACTGACAGCTTGATTGCTTCAGACTGCCTCTAGTCATGTTCTGAATTAATCCCTCCTCATTTGACTAAATGACAGTCTCCTTCAGATGAAGCTCAGCTTTTGGGCCTCTCTTAAATTTCAGTTTGTAAACTCTCAGCTTTGTCGCTTCTGGTACGGAGACCAAATGCTTGTTAGGGCTAGCAAAGCCCCGTGGAAGTCGTGCTTTGCACAACCCTCTCGGGCGGCAGAGCTCAGCTCAGAAATGTGACCTGGTACCGTCCCAGGTTTGGCAGAAACCAGCAAGCTGCGCTACATTACAGTAGCAAACAATTTTGTGCATGAAACCCCTTTACATAAACTTGTTGCTCTGCCACAAGTCTTGAAAGATCAAGTAAGTATTCCTGCAGGTACAATAAAAGGCTGTTTTGATATGCTACTCAGTGACCCCCATAAAACAGAATTGCTGGCAGATGTGCCCTTCCTGCTTTACTTGTGGAGTAAAGCTTATACACCAGGCAGAGGAGCAGATCTGAGCTCCAAAGCACTATGGTTTCTAGGAAATGAGCCTTCCTCCCAGAGTTGATGAGCAATTACTCTTTGTTCAGCTCTCCAGTCCTGCCAAGTCACTGGAACATTATAGTTCCCTACTTGGAGACTGAGTCTGCAAACATCTGTCCACCCTGAAAGGACCTGAACAGGCAGAGTCTAGCACTGAGACCTGTAATTTCTGTTTGCAGCCTACTTGGGTGCATAATGTCAGCCTCAGGCTCTCACTGAGTAGCTACTGGGCTAAGTGCTGCTTTGGCAGAATAAAATACCAACCTGTAGTGTGTAAACCTGTTCTTTGTGTCCCAGAGTTTCCTAGGAATTCTTCATTACTCCTCTTTTGCATTTAACCAGATTTCCCCCCTCCCCCCGCTTCTTTTCCCAGGTCTGTCTCAAATTCGCTTTGAAGACTTCTCTAAAGACTCACAACTGAACAACCTAGATGCAGGAAGACCATAGAGCTGAAAAAATATTCTGGCAAAAATCTGTCTTGGTAGCACTTAAACCAACTAGCTCTTCAGGACAAAACATCTTGGATCAGATGCAGGAAACTAAGGAGCGATTGATGGGCTGTGGTCCCAGACCTAGAATAACTAGAACTGCATTCTCCCTTCCCCAGGGAGCCTGGCTTGTGCATTTAACCTTACTTTGACCTGTTACACGCTGTGTTTCATGCCTGCTCCCGTTAACCGGGACTACAGATGGGATCGTCACAGACCTAGACCTCAGCAATGATCTTCTGGTCTGCCTGCCAGTGGAGTTGAGAAGATAACCATGCTAACTGCCCGTCAGACTGTTAGTGACAGCGCTGCCAAGAACAAACTAGCATCTAGTGTAGGGGTTTCTGTGGGTCCAATAGCACTATGGGCTGTGGGAAGACGAGACCAGCACAGGTCAAGTGTGTGGGGATGTTCAGGGGAGTGGTGGGGATAAGCACAATGCCACTTATCTTCAAATTGTTCTTTGCTTGCCTTAAAAGTAATCTGTTCTGTGTCTAGCTGATGCTGAAATCTCTGTGTGTGACCTTATAAGAAGGTACTACTCCATCCTCCCTGTACCTAGGTCAGAACACGGTGCGGAGGGCAGGGGGTGGTGTTGGCGGCTGCTCCTCAGTCTCAGCGCGACGTCCCGGTCCCGTGTGTTGGTCTCTCCGTCAGAGACAAACGGGCAGCGGCCCTTCTGGTGGGTGTAGGGGAGGAGGAAGGTACCGAACCGTGCTGCTTCAGGAGAGCTTCGCAACACTCCTTTGAACTACTGAGAATGTGTTCGCCTCTGTTCGGGTGCTGTTGTAGTACCAGTGGGTAATTAAGACCTTATTTTTGTGAAAAGTATTGAACTGAGTCGGACAGATGATGTCCTGCCCTCATTGCCACAACGTCCTGGCTGGATTCCCTGGTGCCAGGTGAACTTGGCTTTGTTCTGAGTGTGACATACGACAGCAGAGTGGACCTTGTCAGAGGTGAACTAGATTCTGGGTTTTTTCCTCATCTTTTGGAAGGGGGCTTGGTGTAACTTTTGGCATGCAGAAAGGCCATCTCAAAAAACGGGGTTGCCAAGGTGGTGCACTGAGTTCTGGAGAATTAGCAATTCCTTCTGGAGCCTGCAACTCCCTGAGTTTTTGTAGAGCTTTTTTTTTTTTTTTTTAACTCCACGCAAAGGCTTCAATAACTGAAACCTTCGTAAGTATCTGTGACTTGTCACCATGCTATACTGAGAGTGGTTTCAAAGCCCTGTTTGTATATTGTGGTTTTTGTACGACTTAAAAGCATAATTTATTTCTCGTATTGTACATATGTAAAGTTTAAAACATTCTGGTTTTGAGTAACAGTTTTTATAAGCCTTAAGACAAAAAAAATAAAGGGCTTTGTAAAAATCAGTGGAGTTGTCTTGTGTCTACCACAAGCTTTGACATGCCTTGCCAGAACAACAGCACGTGGCCGTTCTCTCCCCCTCCTGCGGTCACTGAGACCAGCAGAAAGGGGACACGAAGGCAGAGCAGCAGCCAGGTAGGTGCTGGCAAGAAGGTGCCCTTATCCAGCACCCTCCTTCCATGTCCTCTTCAGGCTGTGTTGCCAAGGTGGTTTTGCTCCCTCCACACGCCCATCACCACCGAGTGGAGAAAATTCACTCGGTGTCTACTCCTGCATCTTGTGGTCACAGAATCACAGAATGGTTTGGGTTGGAAGGGACCTTAAAGACCGTCTAGTTCCAACTCCCCTGCCACCTTCCACTAGACCC